CCACCATCAGCAGGTCCCGGTGCTTCTCCAGGTCCGTGCCGCCCTGCGGAGGCAGCCCAGGGGGCATGTGGCCGGGTGGTCACGGGGAAGCAAGGGGGGCGGGGCAGAGTGTGTGCACAGGCAGGGGGGAGGGCGGAGAAAGACAGAGAGAAGGAGAAAAGAGGAAGGAAGGCGAGCGAGGGAGAGAAGGGGCTCAGGAGATTAAGATGAAGACAGGAGAGAGAGATGGAGCGGGCGGTGAGACAGGCACTGCTCCGGCAGCACCCCTCCCCGGCACCCTATTTTCCTGAGTGTGAAAGTCACAAGTCGTATTTATACAGAGTTCACACTCCGATTCGCATCGCAAGGGAGAAGTCACCTCCGCCCCGGGGGCGTCACGTGACCTTGGAGGGCCTAGTGAAGGTGGTAAGTATCGGGGAGCATTTCCCAGGCAGGACGCTGCCCCCCTTGGGCTGCTGGGCTCACACCCCTCACCCCTCATCTGGAGGCCAGACTGCGCATCGGCCCCGCCCGCCCGCTGCCCCTGCGGGAGGCGATGGTGGCCTCACCAGCTCTGATCGGAGGCGGCTCACTTCCTGGGCCTGGCTGATGAGCTTCTCCTTCAGGCTCTCCACCTGCCAGCACAAAGCCGGGGTCACAATGAGCCCTGCTCACCTCCAGCCCACGCCCAGGCCGCGGCCCAGCCCTGCCTGTGTCTGAGCATCGGGCCACACCTGGGACTCCAGCTGAGCGACACCTGGCCCGGGCCTGCCAGCCTTCGGCACCCTCTCTCACCCGGGACCCAGCCAGCCTGAGCTCCCAGGCAAGTCTGCAGGCAGATGCAGCGGGTGTTGCGACCCCTGCACCCTCCGGGCTCACGCCAGGGGCAGCTCACCGGGAGGCTCAGGGGGCTGCCCCTCAGGATGCGTGCCTTGCACAGGCCCCCGCCAAGGCCTGTGCCTACCTCTGTGTCTGTAACTTTATATTCTTTTCTCCTAAAAGGCTCCCCAGATTGCGTAAACGGTAGGCACTAGGACGCCAGGCTCCGTCCTTGCCCAGCCCCTAGCATTTTCCGTGTTGGGTGCTTCCTGGTGAGGCTGCCTGCGGAGACGGGCCTGCCAGTGAGCAGGGCACATCTGGGACCTGCGTCCCCAGCTCCCAGCCTGCCTGCAGGAGTTGCGGCGGGGATGAGAAGGGAGCATGCACCCCATCCGGAGGCAAGGGTGACCTGGCTGGGCGGGGAAACCAGCCCCCAGCGGCCAGGTCCCAGGATGGTGACCATCCCTAGAGCTGACCTCCAGCAGCCCAAGACCCTCTCCTTGGGAAAGAACCCAAAATGCACAAGGACTTTGACTCTGACGCGAGCACATCTGCCGTCTTCCTGGCAGAGCATTCTGGGATGCACACCCCACGCCCTGGACTCACCCCGAGGAGGGTTAGAGGCGGGGCTTTCACATCGGGCCTCTAAACAGCAGGTGACAAAGCCCCTGCCTCCAGGGCTACCAGGTAAGGCAGGTGAGGGGCAGTGTGGACTGCACCCCCAAGATCACCTGCAGGAGCAGCCACCATGCCCCCTGCGGACGGGGCCAGGAGGACACGGGCTCCGTGTCACCAACCTTCTGACCATTCCAAAGAGGCCAGACGTTGGGGTTCCCGGGGTGCGTGTGTGTGTGTGTGTGTGTGTGTGTGTGTGTGTGTGTGTGTGAAATCTCCCAACTTGAATGGCTGAGGTGCCATCGACAGTCTGCGGGCATCCGGACCAGAGCTCAGTCTTCCGGGCCTGGAGAAGGCGGCGGAACCATGTGTCGGGCCTCTGCCTCAGGTGGTTGGGGAGGAAGCCAGCCATGGGCTCCACTGGCCTCAGAGGCAAAGGCCCTGACACTAGTGCTGTCGCTCACGATCGGGGACAAGGATTCCAAAACACAGACCCCGAGAGGGGCTGGGAGGCCCAACCTGGCTTCCCAAGTCCTCCTGATGGGCAAGCGGCAGGTTTTTAAATTTACATTTTCTCTGAAAGCCAAAATGCACTCCTGGAAATAATTTTAGTGATTGATGCTTCTATCTTCTTTTTCGCAAAGCCCATGCCACTCTCTGCACCATCCGGTACCCTTCTGGTAAGAGCCTGGTGGCGGGGTGCTCAGAGCCGTGGCCCCACAGGGGAATGAGGAACAGTTTGCACTAGGCCAGGGATGGCGAACCTATGACATGCATGTCAGAGGTGACACACAAACTCATTTTTTTGCTTGGTTGTTCTTTGTTAAATGGCATTTAAATATATAAAGTAAATATCAAAAATATAAGTCTTTGTTTTACTGGTTGCAAAGATCAAAAAATTTCTCTATGTGACATGGCACCAGAGTTAAGTTAGGGTTTTTCAAAATGCTGACACGCCGAGCTCAAAAGGTTCGCCATCACTGACCTAGGCAACGTTTCAGTCCTTAGTCCCAACATCGGGACTCGCCTGCACACCAGCCTGTAGGCCAGCCTGCGGGGCACACAGCCTGGCGTGCGGCCATCAGCTGTGTTTCCCGGGAGCTTTAAACGACACGGGGAAACGTGTCTCCACAGACTCAAAGAAAAACCCAAAACAAAACTGTGCGGAAAGTACCACAAAGCAGAGGTCCCTGGACTACGGCATCATATGACCGATTCTTCACGCTTTTCCGTTATTTTTAAGTCTCAAAGAATGTGTATTCCTCTTGCACCCCCTTCACCCTAAAACAGGCGGGTCTACTTCCTTTCGAAAGGTAGGGGTCCCCCCTCCCCAAGATCCTCCCCCAGCAATCACCCCAGCACGGTCCATTTGTGAACAGGCGGCTCAGATAGGCTGCGTCCTTGGTGCGGGCTGGGTGTGCTCTGACCTCGCTTGTCCTCAGCGCACTGCCTGGCACTCAGAGGGAAGTGGGGTTTTCCAGCATTT